AACATTTCTTCAGCCTTAGCACTATTAATCTGCTCTCCATGTTCACCGTTAAACAGAATATTACCATACAAAAATAAAGCGTTCTTCTCGGATGCTCGTACGGCCATTCTCAAATACCTAATACCATTGTCCTGATCATAATGTGTACCATTTAGACATATATGTGCATATAAATATTGAGCCAGGGGAGTAAAATTACTCGCTGGTAAATGGTCTGCTGCTTCACGTAAGTAAACCATAGCCTGGAATTCATCTGGGGGCACACTATCATGACCTTCGTATAGCAGTTTGCCAGCATAATATCTGGCTAAATATGCTTCTTTAGTATCACTTTTAACGTATAGCTCTAATCCTTCTATCGCCTCTTCGTAGTTCTTCTTATTAATAGCCGTAGTGACATCTTTCCACGGTGGCAGAGTATATGATTTTTCAGACTTGATTTGCTTTATTTTTTCATATTTGGTTTTAACGGCTAAATAAAGAATAATCATTATCAGTATAACTAAATTTATCCAATATTCAAGTAAAGAACATAAATGTTAAAGCGAGATTGAATAATAAATGATAACATATTATGTCCTAAATTGATAAAATCGTCCCGATGCAATCTTGGATTTGAATATTTACGTTTATAAAGCATATGCAATTCATGAATTATCTGTTGCATCGTAGGGCGAAAACGGAACGATTGAGCCCAACCCAATTCCATTATCCTTTGGTATTCTGGCATAATATCGTTCGGGTTTGGTGATGGACGGTCACCTTTTTTAATCTTCTCGGAAACTTCAATATTATCGGAAATTTGATAAAATGGCTCTTTTCTTGCTGCAATTTCCCACATTACTATTGCAAAACTTTATATAGAAAATTTGGTAAGATTTGAACAGCGATAAAAATATATATGATAAGAAAATTAATATAATATTGTTCTTACCTATATACATCCATTTCTCTGGAATAAGCAACATAAGTTGCATTTAATTTTTCGGGTGCAGTCCATCTATTTTGGAAAAATTAAAGATCAACTTACTGCTTTTGAATATTAAATTAAGGTATCATTGAAATGACTGCGTTACCTAATACTCTTCATTTGCCCCGATAATGATGTTGTTAATTCGTCAGAGAAGCGTGCCAAATCAAAATTGCTAAGCTTCACATTTAAATCTTTGTCTATCAATATATTCGCGCTATATTTGTTAAAATGATTATTACGTTAATCTGGTTGATTTTTGATATATTTCTAATAATCTTTGAAATTACCTTTTAACATCATGATGAAAGATATCAGCTTTATGGCAATATGTGAG